GCTACTTTAGAAGGCTGAGGCGGAAGGATCACCGGAGCCCAGCAGGTCGAGGCTGCGGTGGCCGGAAGTGGCCACTGCACTCCAGTCTGGGCAACCGAGTGAGACTCCAACTCAAAAAATAAAAAAATAAAATAATAAAATAAAATACTTGCTCAGTATTATACAGGAAAAAGGACTTCAGAAGAGCAGATTGCTAACACTGGTAAGACTGGCTTGTTTTATAGGAACATTGACAGATGAACCTAGATGACAAAAATGGCATTTAGGTTGATGAAAATGTTGTGATCAGAGGAACCTAACCTTTTATTTCTCCTAGGAGCATGGTTCAGTATTTGCTATAATTCAGTGTTCTTGGCAACTTTATGCCACTTATATAACGAATAATGAGAATTAACTATTCTAGACCTGGGTTAATTGGTTGGCATGAGAGTTGACAGTGCCTGCTCCATTCCTCCTTAGACAAGACATGCCACTGGAACTGCAGAGCCTTGTCATCTGTATTGATGTCATCCAGGCAGTTCTCGAACCACAACACTGTCGTCAGTGTATTTCTCAAACAAAGCACCATGCTTGAAAGGAGAAAAGTCAAAGAAGACAAGTTCTGTTTTGTTTTTGTTTTTGTGATATATTGCTGTTGAGAATATGGTTGTATTGTCCCTAAATCCCTAAAAGTCAGCACAGACACACCAAGAAAACCAGTGTATAATTAATGTCCAGAGCAGATTTCAGGCCCACCCCCTGTGGCTATATCATCATATTTCCAAGATTGAAAATAACTCAGACTATTTTTTGAAAAACTTTTAAGCTTCTGTTGAGGATATTAAAGTGTTATGGCGATATCATTTTGCTAGGAGACCCAGAGACAAACAAATCTAGCCCTAGACCAATTACTCCTTCCCATAAGATCCTTGAGAAAAGTGGGCTGAAAAATAAAAACGCAGTTAAGGAGTGTGTTCTTCCTCCACATCATTGTCCCCAAACACAAACTCTCAGGCCTCCTGTGCAGAACTAGAAATGCTGGAGTAGGACTTGCCCATAAGTCTCTTTTTAAGCCTTGTCTGGTAATTCTGATTCTTATTCTTAATAGACAACTGCTGCTCTATATTAGAGCATGAGGAACCGTTGAGGAATTTTTTTTTTTTTTTTTTTTGAGTTGGTGTTTCACTCCATCACCCAGACTGGAGTGCAGTGGCCGCTCCCGGCCACCACAGCCTCGACCCACAGGGCTCCACCAGTGATCCTTCCACCTCAGCCTTCCGGGTAGCTGGAATTACAGGCGCGTGCTACCACGCCCAGCTAATTTTTTATTTATTGTAGAGATGAGGTCTCGCCAAGTTGCCCAGGTGGGTCTCGAACCCGCGGGCTCAGGCAATCCACTCACCTCAGTCTCCCAAAGGCGCGGGATTACAGGCTGAGCCACCGAGCCCGGCTTCCGTTGAGGAATTTTAACTCGGTGTTTGACATGGTCAGATTTAAATTTAAATGATCCCAATAGCGATATGGAACTGGAGACAGAGAGAATGAAGGACTAAAGATGCTTTTAAGTAGAGAGAGGTGGTCATGCCACCAGTGAAGCTGTTAAATGCGCACACACCCAGATTCTGCCTCCCCTTGGAGATTCTGGTTCTGTGGGTTTAGAGTCTTGGGCTAGACATTCGTGCTTTTGAAAAGCTTCACAAGTGATTGTGAGGTTTAACTATGATGAAGAGCCGTGGCTCTGGGAACTGGTTTACAAGTCACAGCTTCTATTATATGAAAGCCCTCTGCCTCACAGTGATAAAGGATGGTCAGGACGACTGTGTGTGAGTGTCGGGAGGCACAGGCTCAGTGTGTAAGTGTGAATAGCTACAGAGGCTTCTTCCCATGGCACTGCACAGTTGTGTAGCCTGTCTGCTGAGGCTGTAACCTCAACATGCACTGCTTATTTTCCAAAGCATCTCATTTTCTGTCTTGGAGAAACTTCCCACTTCCAGTTCCCACTTTGCTGGGTGCTAAAAATTGAATTTATCATAGAATGGATGGACTGGAAAGCCTTGTTTGCTACCTAGCTTATTTTCCCTCAAAAGTCTCACAACTTTCCCACACCTGTCTGATTTGCTTACTTCTAGGTAACGTGATGAAGCTGGAAGAACAGAAGTCAGACCTGGAGAGGCAGTTAAAGACTCTGACCAAGCAGATAAAGGTGAGGTGTGGGCTCTAATGATAAATGGGGGCCTTCAACCATCATCTTTCGGTATTTCTGGAAATTATCCCTCACTAGGCCTGGATTACTGTCTCCATCCTGCTTTTTCATGGAGCATCTCCGTGGCATAGGTCCTGGAACCATAAGGTCCTTTTTGGCAGGAAGTAACATCAAAGCAGTCATTCAGTGTTAGGATGGAGACCTTTGGCAATGTGAAGGTGTAATTCTCACATATGCCTTTTCCTACTAGTAAGTTTCCATGAAAACAGGGACTCACTGAGTACTGCTTGGCCATTCTTTCTTGGTGACTGATGTGGGGCTTCCATAGCCCCTGCCCAGACACCGGCCCTGGCAGGCATCTGATGCACAGGTGCCTTCTGGTGTTTTCAGGAGGAAACTGAGGAATGGAGGCGGTTCCAAGCAGACCTGCAGACTGCAGTGGTGGTGGCCAATGACATCAAATGCGAGGCCCAGCAGGAGCTGCGCACTGTGAAGAGGAGGCTGCTGGAGGAAGAGGAGAAGAACGCCCGGCTGCAGAAGGAGCTGGGGGATATGCAGGGCCACGGCAGGTTGGTCACGAGCAGAGCCACCCCTCCGTGAGTCTGACGGGCACCCATATAGCGCTTGGCTTCTCACTTATGCGATGTGCATGGGGCTTCAGAGGGGGGATGAGGTGCTTTATGTCTCTCTGTGCCCGATTCTTTTATTTCTTTTCTAGGATCACTCTACCACCACTACACTACTACACCACTAGGAACATTCCATCAGTGCTCAGTCACTGCCATTCTCTAGCATAAGGTGATGCAAAACTCTTCACTTGTGTATGTAGGGAAAGTTCGAGCCAAGTATCCTCCTGGGTTTAAAGAATAGAAGTCATGTCTAAGATGCTCCTTAGATCTTAGTATTTGTTAGTGTAGGGAGTGCACACTAATAAATACTAATACGACACCTTGCTTAGGTCAGTCCCATATGGTGGGGAAAGCTGGACTCACTCCTGAAGGGAATGCCACCAGATGAGGACTCATTCCTCCTGGCCTAGGGGTGTGCTTCCTTATTGGCAACACCCATGGGCTATTTCAAAAAGGCCTTGACATAACCCACTTTATTAAAAAAGAATGAGGGTGGAAAATACATCTGGCTGATGTGTGACATTCCCTTCTGGTCTTGAGGGGGAGAACCACACAATGTATCAGCCCAGAAAGTGCTGTTTAACAGTGACCTTTAGAAGGAAAGTATTCTCAAGGTGAGCTAAAAGTTAATTATTATTTAAAATTTAAATGGTTTACAGACAAAATTTCAAACTGTATTTTAGGTTTTGACTAATGCATTGTTATATTTCTCCAGTCAACAATCAGTGTCCTTAGCTTTGAGATTGTTGGATACATTATTTTGAATTTTTCAGATGTCTCTCAAGTATAGTCTTTTTAAAATCAAATTGAGTGGGTTCTGAATGTTGATATGTACAATTTGCCTTGATTTGTATGTGTTTTCCACAGTCATTAGCTTGCTCCAGAGCCTTCGGTTCTGATGTTCTGTTTTCACGAACTTCATGACATTGGAAAGAATAGATTTCTTTCCATAATTTTCTTTTGATTCTTCTGTCAATCCTGCTCCAGTTCCTCATTTCTTTGTTTGTAGCTTTTATATAAAATGGTCTCTAGAGAAGGATTAAGATCAGACATGAAGCCAGTTCCACAGTTTACTCTTGAAAAATCAAAATCAAGATTATTATTTTATTTAGTTATTTAATGTTAGAGATGAAGTTTCACTATGTTGCCCAGGCTGGATTTGAACTTCAGGGTCCAAGCAGCACTCCTGACTCAGCTTCCTGAGTAGCTGGGACTAAAGGCATGCCCAACAAGATCATTATTTTAAAGTCATCACCTCTACCTTCTGGCCACCAAAGGATATGAATTTTAAGTGAAAGTAGAAGGAGAATAGGAAAACTAGACTTGATAGTGTTTCTTGTTGAAATGATTGTGAGATATTTCTAGTTTGCTTCTGTGTCTGCTTTTATTTGTCTCTTTGTCTTGCTTCCATATTGTATGTCTGAGGAAGAGGAACCAAGTCATAACTTGTATTGCCTCACAGATACATTTTAACGATAAGTGGTAAAAGACAAGTCCTGAGTTTCCATGGTGGCCCTAAAGAGGTTATTGTATGAGGTGTTACATTCCTTACTTATATTCTAAGATACAGGCCAGACCATACAACTTAAACCCTGATAGTGAAGAAAATCTCTGCATGTATTCTGGCAGTATGGGACTCCCTGAGCTGTATCCTACGTGTTTTCAGCCTTAAGATCATTTTTTTTAAAGCACAGAATATTTCTTTTTTGATTTTCCAGTAATTTTCAAAACTGTCTCCCCCATCTAACAGTTTAATCCCTTATCACAAAATATTTCAAAATTTTTGAGCTGACACCAATGAGAACATAGCATACTACTGAAATTAGGTATCAGAATGTTTCTTGCCTGTCATTGCATTTGGCAGGACGTCAGACAACTGCCAGTAATAGTTTCTTGTCTGATTTTGCACTTCTCTGGCAAGCTGCCCCCTGTAAAGAGTTGACTGTTTGACAGTTACTCGCCGATGGCTCAACCACTTCCTGAAAGTACCACATGGGCAAGAATTGAAACCAACTCAGGTCCTCAAAGCTCCGGAAGCCACCTAGTGTTTCCATCTTGGCTGAATGAGTTCTTAACTGAAACTTGAGTGAACTTTGACAGTCATCTAATGAGAACTCAAAAGTCATTATTGGTTCAGCCACAACCAAAGAACTTGCAGAACATTCTCTGATGAGGTCCTCCAAGTACAGCTGAGAGAAGGTAAGAGCGTCCAAACAGCACCTTCATCATGACACGGGAGTAACTGGTTCTTATTCTCATTTTGCTCATGTGGACATTGGAGGGGATTGTTATAGTCAGTATGATAGTTGGGCAAATGAAGTGTCTGGGTAGGAATACAAATTAGCATTTATTACCCAGAATCCAGTAGACAAAACAACGTAGAATATTATTTAATTCATTAGTGATCTTCAGTCCTGTTATGTTTTCGAAGATATTTTTTATTTGAATCAGAATAACTAATGTTAAGATATGTGTAAGATACACGACTTTGCAGCCAACCAGCAATGTCTGCTTCCCAGCCCTACCTCCTTCCTCTGTTAAATGAGGAGATGAGAGTGGGTAGTTTTCAAGAACCTTCAAGCTCTGCTGTTCTCTGAGACTAGTTGGTCAGCTGACCTTTCCCTAGTGGAAGACTCAGAAACTCGATTGCCAGCCTTAGCATATTTCTGGTGCAATCCTTTGAACCTCTTTGACACAATGACATCTCCATATCTTAGTTATATCTTGTGTCCTGCTCTTTGTCTTCCAGAAATTTGAACAAGCTGATGATGTGTTTTTTAGGGATCTGAAATTGATCCATATCACTAGGCACATATAAATTAACAGATGAAAGGATAGTAAATAACTTCCTCAACTCTGGCTCCTTCCAGTTTTGAACAATGAAGAGAAAAGCTTTGAAATGAAAACTGTCATTGAAATGGAAACATCAGATATTTTTCCTGAAAAGTTGAGGCCTGGACCAGGACAGATACAGAGAACCACAGCTTGATGCATTGGTTTGATGGACCACATACAGCCTTTCTAATGAAAGATTTTGTGGGTTGATAAGCAGTACCTGACACAGGTTTCTCAAACAGAAGTAGGGAAAGACCTCTGCATTTACTTCTCTTGTTCTGAAACAATAAATGCCATTACTTTTTAGAGTGACTTATCTAATTCTTACTGTGTTCATTGTACTACACCAATAAGCATTCATGGAAAATATCTTTAAAAAATCACTAAAAACACTTAACATCTGTGCCTGATTAACTCTGTCAGTTTCTAAAGTAGAATGTCTGCAGTTCAGATATGTTCAACCTGTAGCACCAGTTCCTGCGTGGTCACCCCTCAGAAGTGAGCAGCATGGCGGCACTTCACGTGCAGACTTTGCTGGAATTGGCTTTAACTTCGTGTGTGCACATCTGTATCAGCCCTAACGTCAGTGCCTGTGCCTGTGCCACCCTTTGTGTTGTTCTGATAGCTCTAATGGTTCGCAGCTGCTCAGCAAGTGTTGTGTAACTGCCACTGAGAAAGGAAGTGTGGAAATTGGAGGTTTAGATTCTTGGGTCACCAAGATATCTTTTCCAGTTCTCTTGCTGCAGATGCTCTGGTACTGAATCCCTGGTCTGGGTGGGGGAAGCCAGCTCTCCTAGGGAATCCTAAGCAGTTTCTGCAAGGACCTCACATTAGCAACTATGACTGTTGGACCTCTGGCCCTCAGTGTAGAAACTGGTCCTCTCATATCCTCTTGCTTCAGCAAGCATAATCCATTCACTTACAGAATACTTTTTTTCATAGTTTAAATGTACATTTATGACATTAGATTCATAGTCTTTAATTCTAAAGAGCTATGCCTCCCTCCCTGCTCCCTGACTCCCATCTTTATAAATTTGCTTTGAAAAGTGTGGACATAGCATAAGCTTCTCTTTAGCCTTTAGGATTTTTAGACTGTAATAAAAGAAATATATATTTTTGGGGGGAGGGCCTTAAGAGTCAAGTAGAGGGAAGCATGAGCCTCTCTATAAATTACAGAGAGGCCTGTGTTGTTCACCCTAGACATTTCTACTTCACCAGCATGGTTCTTTGTTGGAGAAGTTCTGGCAGAAGGAGCCTAGTAAAGGCATTTGAGGTCTTTGGCACGTTCTCTGTCTGAAAACCTTTGATTTCCAAAAAATTGGAGTGGTAGAAATTAAATCATATGGACCTTATTCTGGAGACTAACTTTTCCCTGTGGGACAGTGTAAGCTGTTAATTCTTGTGTTTGTAAACTAAGATTGTGTTGCCTTAAGTAACTCCTTTACCAGCCTCTCCCTCCCATTTCTATTTTCACAGCTCCATGGTCTCTGTCAGCTAGCAGAGCACTTGGTGGAAGAAAGACAGCCCAGCCCTTGCCATGACTGGAAACTACAGCCATTTCTATATGAAAGGGGGAATATGTAGAGGAGAATTGCCTCTTTATAGAGAGTCCAGTTGCCTCCTTGTAACATTCATTGTTTCACACAGTCATTGCAATTGCATCTCTTTACTTTTTTTCTACATTTTGGAATCAACTCACTGCATGATCAAAGATGATCCTTCCTTCTTTATTATTTTTTCCCAGAAGATTCAGCAGTCTTTTAATGGGAGAATAAAATGAAGTTGCTCTGAAAAACAAAGTACAAAAAAATGTGAAAAACAAAGTATAAAAAATTGTGAAAAAAATGTATGTGCAACTAGTTTTCAGAGAGGGCAGTGACATAGCAAATCTGACTGCTGAGAACACAGCTCATGCTGTTGCTCTACCTTTTAGCGTTTATTTCTACCTTTTTGATATGGTATCTGATAATCTTGGAATTCATACTACTTAAGGCAAAATAGGAAGCCGTCTGCATGATATATTATCCCGAAGAAGTTAGAAAATTCTGCTTCCTTATATGAAGTCTTGATTGAGCCTTTTCAAGCTGGGGTCTGACTTCATTACCTCATCTGCAGCAAGCTGCCACTAAGCT